CGTGAGACATTGAGTCAGCCTCTACGGGTTTCCATAGCCGCCGACAGAGTGATTTGTGCCACGGAGGTCCTCCGGGGATGTGTGTTAGAGATTTTTGGGGTTGAGTTTCCAATCGATCTGGTTCCTATTGCGATGGGTGATGTCTGTGTTATAGTGGGCATGGATTGGTTGAGCCGATTCGGCGCGGTCATCGACTGTGAGCGTCAGCTGGTGACCATACGAGATCCTAGTGGGGGAGTTCTTTCGGTATACGGCGAGGGTACACGTTCTGGATCAGCCTTTTGTTCGGCCGCTAGGGCGAGGCAGTGTTTACAGCAGGGCTGTAAGGGTTTCGTGGCGTATGTGATGGATACGCGAGTGATCTCCGAGAGACCAAGTTCAGTGGATGAAGTTCCGGTGGTGCGTGAGTTTCCAGATGTTTTTCCCGAAGAGTTACCAGGTGTGCCTCCCGTGAGGCAAGTGGAGTTCGGTATCGATTTGGTTCCGGGAGCCGCACCTATCGCTAAGGTGCCTTATCGCCTTGCACCTCCAGAGATGCAAGAGTTATCCTCGCAGCTTCAGGAGCTGCTGGGGAAGGGGTTTATTCGGCCGAGTAGCTCGCCATGGGGAGCACCCATTCTGTTTGTGAAGAAGAAGGATGGCTCGCATCGAATGTGTATTGATTACCGAGAATTCAACAAGCTGACAGTCAAGAACCGTTACCCGTTGCCGAGGATCGACGATTTATTCGATCAGTTGCAGGGAGCATCTTGGTTCTCCAAGATCGATTTGAGGTCGGGCTATCATTAGGTGAGAGTGCGGGTTGAGGATGTTTAGAAGACAGCATTCAGGACGCGTTATGGGCATTATGAGTTTGTGGTGATGCCTTTTGGGCTCACCAATGCCCCAGTTGTGTTCATGGACCTCATGAACAGGGTATGCAGACCAATGTTGGATCGGTCGGTGATTGTGTTTATCGATGATATTCTGGTATATTCGAGATCTAGAGAGCAAAATGAGGAGCATTTGAGGGAGGTTCTTGGAGTTTTGAGATCGGAGAAACTTTATGCAAAGTTTTCCAAGTGCGATTTCTGGTTGCGGGAGGTCCAGTTTCTGGGGCACCTCGTTAATCAGAAAGGGATATTGGTCGATCCGGCCAAGGTTGACGCGGTGATGAGGTGGGAGGTGCCAAAATCACCTTCTGAGATCAGGAGCTTCCTTGGGCTGGCAGGGTACTATCGGAGGTTTATCAAGGATTTCTCCAAGATTGCAATGCCACTCACTAGATTGACTCGGAAGGGTGTTACATTTTTATGGGGTCCCGAGCAACAGACCTCCTTTGAGACGCTTCGCCAAAGGTTGTACGAAGCTCCGGTATTAGCTCTTTCGGAAGGGATGGAAGATTTTGTGGTATTCTGTGATGCATCGATTTTAGGGCTGGGAGCGGTGCTGATGCAGAAGGGACATGTGATAGCATATGCATCGAGGCAGTTGAAGCCTCATGAGACGAGATATCCCACACATGATTTAGAGCTGGGGGCAGTGGTGTTCGCTCTCAAGATTTGGCGGCACTACTTGTATGGGGTTCGTTGTACGATATACACGGACCATAAGAGCTTGAAGTACTTGATGGATTAGCCTAACCTAAATATGCGGCAGAGGAGGTGGTTAGATGTAGTCAAGGATTATGATTGCGAGATCTTGTATCACCCGGGCAAGGCTAATGTGGTAGCCGACGCATTGAGTCGCAGGGCGGAGAGTACTCCACTGCGAAATGTATGTTTGAGATTGACCGTGATAGCTCCAGTTCTGGACGCCATTCGTGGGGCACAGGCCGAGGCTGTGCATCCGGAAATGCAGAAGAGAGAACGGGTCGTTGGGTTGGTTTCTGAGTTCGTGTCGGATAGTCGAGGGCTTATGACTTTTCAGGGTCGAATTTGGGTACTGTTTGTGGGCGGTACGCGTACTACATTGATGGAGGAGGATCATAGATCGAAATTTTCGATCCATCCCGGGGCTACAAAAATGTATTTGGATTTGAGGAAAGAGTATTGGTGGCCTTGTATGAAGAGGGACGTCGCATGGTTTGTCGAGAGGTGTTTGACCTGTCGAAGGGTGAAGGCCGAGCACCAGAGACCGCATGGCAAGTTGCAGCCATTGGAGGTTCCCGAGTGGAAGTGGGAACAGATCACTATGGATTTCATCACCAAATTGCCAAGGACTGACAGAGGAGTCGATGCAATTTGGGTGATTGTGGATAGGTTGACGAAGAGCGCTCACTTTCTTGCCATCAGTGAGAGTTCTTCGGCGGAGAAGTTGGCGGAGATTTATGTGAGGGAAGTATTATCTCGGCATGGGGTGCCTATCTCGATTGTTTCAGACCGTGATGTGCGCTTCACTTCCCGATTCTGGAAGAAATTTCATGAGGAGTTGGGTACTAAGCTGCATTTTAGTACCGCATACCACCCCCAGACAGACGGCCAGAGTGAGCGGACGATTCAGACGCTTGAGGACATGCTTCGAGCATGTGTATTGGATTTTGGGGGTAGCTGGGATACGTATTTACCCTTGGCAGAGTTTTCCTACAATAACACCATCATTCGAGCATCGGTATGCCGCCCTTTGAGCTGTTGTATGGTAGGAGGTGTCGGACTCCCATTTGTTGGGGAGAGGTTGGGCAGAGAGTGATGGGCAGTACAGAGATCGTGATTCAGACGACAGAGCAGATACAGCAGGTCAGACAGAGGTTATTGACCGCCCAGAGCCGACAAAAGAGTTATGCGGACAGACGCCGGTCCGAGCTTGAATTTCAGGTCGGCGACTTCGTTCTCCTGAAGGTTTCTCCTTGGAAAGGGGTGATCCGGTTCAGGAAGAGGGGCAAGTTGGGGCCCGGTTTATAGGTCCATTTCGTGTGATTGCAAGGGTAGGCCGGGTAGCCTATCGGTTGGAGTTGCCAGCAGAGTTGGGACAGATTCACAACACTTTTCATGTATCGCAGTTGAGGAAGTGTATAGCCGATGAATCGGCAGTGGTTCCGTTAGAGGATATTCAGGTAGATGCAAGCCTGAATTATGCCGAGAGACCAGTGGCCATCAGGGATCGGAAGATCAAGGTTTTGAGAAACAAGGAGGTACCTCTGGTGTTGGTTCAGTGGCAACATCGGAGGGGATCAGAGATGACCTGGGAGCCAGAGCGTATGATGCAGGAGCAGCACCCGAAGCTGTTTTTAGAGCGAGACTTCGAGGGCGAAGTCTAGTCCAAGTGGGGGAGAGTTGTAACAGCCGGATTTTATCAGGTATCTTGTTAGTTGTATTTTGTTGTTTTGTGAGGGGGACTCGGCGAGTTGGAGCTCAGACTCGCCGAGTAGGGACGCGGATTTGGACGCAGGATCGCGCCTGGACTCGACGAGTCCAGGATATGGACTCGGCGAGTCAGCGCTGTGTAATGAAACCCTATTATTTCGGGTTTGAGACTTATTTAAAGGGCCTAATGGCCGTCATTTGTGCTCACCAGCCCCTTGAGTGAAACCCTAATCGAGTGTGAGCATTGGAGCTAAGTAGAGGCCATTATTGACCTTGGAGGTGCCATTGTTGCAAGGAAAGGAGAAGAGCTAGCCAAGGGAAAGCAAGAAGGAGCCATTTCTGTGGGTTTGGAGTCCAGAGCATCACTTTTGTGGTAATAAATCCGAGTTACCTTCTTGTTGTTATTGCTTATCTAGATTTAGGGTTTGTTGAACCCTTTTATGGCAAGATTTGGTGCTCTTTTGGTCCCTTATGAGGTTGGAACCATAGATCTGGACCCTTAGAGGTCCAGAGTGTCCCTTTACCCAAGCTTTTTGGGGATCAATGGAGGCTTTGGATTGGAATCCTCATGCCTTGGGTCAAAAACGCCATTATTGAGTTATAGGTGTGTTATGAGCACCAAGATAGGAGCTTTACGTGATGAATCAGTCGAGGGAGGCCAGATCTATAGTTTTTGGAAGCAGATCTGACCTTAGAAGCGAGTTGGAGTGGTTGCATGGCATGGACTCGCCGAGTCTGTTCATCCGACTCGGCGAGTAGCTTGAAGATTGCCTTGGGACTGCTCAGCGAGTGGTCCAATCGAGTCATGGGTAGACTCAATGAGTCAGGGTGAGTCGGAGAGGGATGACGAGTGGACTGAGTCAAACCTGGACTCGCCGAGTTGTCCTTGAGACTCGGCGAGTTGAGTCGGGGTGGCCCCGCGATTCATTCAGGTGAAACTCGTCGAGTAAAGGGGGGGATACTCGACGTGTAGTAAGAGGATTTCAGAGGGTGGTGAAAACGTCTAGACTCGCCGAGTCGCCTTGGTACTCGCCGAGTCCGGTCAGAGTTGACCGTTGACCGTTGACCAGAGTTGACCTGTGTTGACTCCTTATAAATAGTCAACCTTAGAGATACAAAGTGTTAATTAGAAGCATATAATGTTATAGGAGGATTAGAGCTCGGAGGATCGAGCACGAGGGATTTCCAGGATTCGTGAGATACCGAGATACGCGAGGTGAGTCTTCTCACTATACTATATTACCTTGAGTAGGTAACCTGAGTTATGTGATAGAGTATTGTATGCTATGCATGTTATGTGTTGTACTGCATTATTTCTATGTGATTTATGTAGTGCATGTTTATCAGAGCTAGAACCTGAGGGTTCACAGAGTTTGGGTGCACGGACCCACAGAGTTATAGCCTCGAGTGGCTAATATGTGTTATATGTGGTATTTTGGGGAACTCACTAAGCCTTGTGCTTACAGTGTTTGATGTTATTGTTTCAGGTACTAGTGACGATCGCGGGAAGGCGCCGGCTTGATCCGTACACACACACACTCGGAGTTTTACATTGTGATCTTGGGATTTTGTATTGACCTATTTTGGATAATTAATATGGTTGTTTGATGAATATTGATGGAATTATGTTTTATAAAAATTGAAAATTTTGTTTTGAAATTTACGGTGTTACAGAAGCATTCTTGTGATCGAGCTGAAAGAAACAAAGAACTCGCAGCAATGGCACAATCGGAACCTAATGGACTGTTTGCGATGGTGGAACTCAACTACCAAGGGGTATTTAATCGAAATCCTTCCTCTTACACTGGTGGTGTTAAAACCATCTTCAATTATGTTGACTTTTCTTCTATGACTTATTCTGAGTTTGTGACCTTCTGCGAACGTTTCATGCATGAAGAGTGTAAAAAGTTTTACTACTGTGAACCAGACATGTCCTTCATAGAAGGGCTTAATCCCATTTCAGATGATGTGGAATATTCTGCTTTTATTTTTGATGCTTATGGAACAGATGGTGTAATTTCGGTTTATGTGGATCATATTGGGGTTGGTGTTGATGGGTGGCATGATGATGAAGATAATGATGATGATGAACATGAGTCTTGTATTGATGGTGAAAATGAAGACAACATAGATGAACTTAGAAATGTTGCCTTTGAATTTAATGAGGATGTAGTGCATATGAATAGGACATCAAATGATCCTTTCTTGAGTAAGCTATGTGTTGATGATGAGGATGCAAACAACATTGTAGATGATGACAATGGGAGAGAAGTTGAAGTTAACATACAAGCTCATTCCATATTTAATGAGCTATTACACTGGAAAAAACAAAAACCAATTCTAGGGATGAGATTTAAGGGTCCAGGGCAAGTAAAATCAATGTTGTGTAACTATTCTGTAGCTAATGGATATCAATTGTGTTTTGAAAAAAATGATAGGACAAGACTTTTGGTGAGGTGTAGCAAAGGTGCTTGCACATTTAGATTATGGGCTTCCTGGATGAGTGATGAAGAGAGTTTCCAAATCAAGTCACTAAAAGTTGATCATAATTGTGCTAGGAACTTCAAGTTTGGATCATTGGTGACATATGCATGGATTGGGAGTCACTATACCAAAGAGATTGTAGAAAGTCAGAAAATAAGTGTAAGGAAGCTTAGGTTAAAGGTAATGGCCAAGTTTGGTATCCAAGTTAGTATGGGGCAATGTAGAAGAGCAAAGAAGTATGCACTGAAACTTGTTGAAGGAAACCTTGTTGAACATTATGGTAAGCTATGGTCATATGGTCATGAGATTTTAAGGACAAATCCTGGGTCAACTGTGAAACTAGATATGGAGGATGGGCCAGATGGAAAGAAATATTTTAGCAAGTTCTATTGTTGTTTTCAAGGAGTTAAACAAGGTTGGATTGAAGGGTGTAGAAGGGTAATTGGTCTTGATGGATGTTTTCTTAAAGGTGTTTGTAAGGGAGAATTGCTTTGTGCTATTGGGAGGGATGCAAATGACAAGATATATCCTATTGCTTGGGCAGTGGTTAATGTGGAGAACAAGCAGAATTGGAAGTGGTTTCTAGAGCTTCTCATTGATGATCTACACTTGAATTTAGGCAATGGTTTCAGTTTAATGTCAGACCAACATAAGGTTAGTATTTTACATAGTAATGCATTTATGTTAATTTTAGACTATCTGAATTTAACCTTTTTACTAATACAGGGTTTGATAGAGGCTGTTAAAGAGTTGCTGCCATATGTAGAGCACAGGCAGTGTGCTAGACATATTTGCCAGAATTTGCAGAAGAGATTTACTGGTGCCATATATCATACCTTGTTTTGGAGAGCATCTAAAGCCACAACTGAGCATGCTTTTAAAGTTGTGATGAAAGAAATTGAGACATTGAACCAGAAGCCCATCAATATCTCATGGAGAAAGATCCTAAAACATGGTCTAGAGCTTTTTTCAAACTGGAAGGTGTTGTGATGCAGTTGAAAATGGGTTCTCAGAAAGTTTTAATGCTGTAATAGTAGATGCTAGGAAGAAGCCCATAATAACCATGTTAGAGGAGATAAGATTATACATGATGGACAGAATCTACAACATGAAATTAAAGGGACAACAATGTGGAAATCATATTTGTCCAGAGATAAGGGATAAGGTGAATTTGCTTAAAAAAGCTCAAAGGCATTATCAGGTACTACCAAGTGGATTAAACCAGTTTGAGGTAAGGGGAGCAATAGATGCATATGAGGTGGACTTAGAAAGAAAAACATGCTCATGTAGGTTGTGGCAATTGAATGGATATGGATGTGCTCATTCTGTAGCTAGCATATCCTTTCTTAATAGGGATGTAGAAGCCTATGTAGACAACATGTTTAGCACAACCACATTTAGAAAGGCATACAATTACAGAATTGCTCCCATGAATAGCAGTGACATGTGGCCAGAGACAAACTATACTCCACCATTGCCTCCTATTAATAGAAGGATGCCTGGTAGGCCAACTACTAAGAGGAAGAAATCCACTACAGAGAATACAGGAACACACAGGGTTTCTAAGGCTGGAAAGAAAATCAGATGTAGTATTTGCAAGGAGATAGGTCACAACAAGGCCACTTGTCCACAGAGAAGGCCCCAAAAGTTAAATGTGAAGAAACAGAAGAAACAAAAAGTATGTGTGAACCAAAATGCAGGACAGGTAAAACAATTTAAAATATAAGATTAATTACATATAATTTGTTACTAACATAATTATATCATGCCATGTAGGGTAGTACAAGTGAACCACAACAACATGAAGAGGTTGAAATGACTCCAATTGAGATGGATACTACTCAAAATGATATGCAAGTTGCTCCTACTGATGTTGAATCTAGTAGTGCATGGGATTTTATTCAATATGTGCAATTCACTCCACTTATAAGTTATGAAGGTGATGAGGGTGTTATGGGTGAGGAAGCTGATGTGGTTGAGGAAGCTGTTGTGGTTGAGCAAGTTGTTCAAGATGAGGAGGCTGAGGAGGTTGATCCTGTTATCCAAGTTGATAATGTAACTGTTTAGGAGGTTGATGAGGTTAATCCTAATGCCCAAGTGGATAATGGTAATGTTCAGGAGGTTGCTCCTGTTAACCAAGTTCAGCAGGTTTGTGTTAGGCCAATTTCAGATATTTTGAAGAGGATAAGGAGAAGAAAGTCAGAGAGAATACTGAAGCTGAAATTAGGCAAAACAATTGGTGGTGTTGATGATCCAGGAAATTCGAAGGGAAAAGCTCTTGTAATTGATTAGTGTTTATTGTAATTTGTGTTTAAAGTTTATGTAATGGGATGATGATAAATTGGATTTTAAGTTTATGTAATAGGATGATGTAATTATATTTAAAGTTTATGTAATAGGATGTTGGTAATTTATATTTAAGTATGTGTGACATTAAAGGGTATTTTGGTCATTTAAGTATGTATGAAAGAAAAAGGGTAATTGGTCATTTAAGTATTTATGACAGAAAAGGGTAATTTGGTCATTTATTTATTGATGACAAATAAGGGTATGTAGGTAATTCATTTATGTATGCAAGAAAAGGGTAATTTGGTCATTCCGTATTTATGACAGAAAAGGGTAATTTGGTCATTTATTTATTGATGACAGATAAGGGTATGTAGGTAATTCATTTATGTATGCAAGAAAAGGGTAATTTGGTCATTTAAGTATGTATGACAGAAAAGGGTAATTTGGTCATTCATTTATGTATGTAAAAAAGGGTAATTTGGTCATTTAATTATGTATGATAGAAAAGGGTATGTTGGTCATTTATTTATGTATGCAAGAAAAGGGTATGTTGGTCATTTATTTATGTATGACATGAAGTATGAAGTATGTTACCATTTTAAGTAAAATCATAACATTTGACTTTGAATATTTATGCATGGAAAAAATTGGAATAATGTGCATGCATGGGGATGTTTTATATGGCCCCGGATTTGGTTTTTTAATGGCTTCACGGGTCCCATTTTTTCATTATTAAAATGGTCCCCATACACATAGTGTACTTCCACATGGACCACTTCCTAATTAAATATATTTGTTGGGAATATAGACCATGCATATGTTTGATAAACATCATCTGATTATACAAAATGCCCTACAATTGGGACTTTGAATATTTTTTTACATTACTTATCATATGCCCTTTCATTAGGGACTTACCACCTTACAACATCAACACATTAAGGTTGATAACCCCAACTTATAACTAAAACCAGCTTCAATACATACAAAATGCCCTTATGGAACTGACTTTCTAGTCTGCCTTTACAAAAAATACAAGGGATCCCAAAAAAACAAAAGCTTACCCTAACCAACCAAACTAACTACATTGACCCCCCTAACTTCAAAACACATAGGGCCAAGAAACCAACCAACAGGGCAACTATCATCCCGTACCTGCCTATTGCCTTCATTGCATCATGAACTTCTTTCTCACTCTTTGCCACCTTATACTGCTCCTGTGACAACAGAAACTCCACTTCAGCAATCCTTCTCCTCAAATTGTTCATCTCAGACATTTCATCTTTGGCATCCAGTTTCTGCTTCAGAGAATATAGCAGGTTTTTGTAGTACCCGTCTGCCTGTTCTTCATCTTTCCATTCAAAGAAGCTACATTTCCTCAACCTAGTCTATAAAAAGACAATAAAATTAGGGTTTGACTGACAATCACAAATCAACTACCTTTAATGTACCAGCGAAATGGGTTTTATTCACAGTGATCGTCAAGAAGGAAATAAAATTAGGGTTTTTAACAGATGAAACAAAATACAAATACACCATTGTCGTTTTTACAGAAAGAAACAACACATCAAACCATAAAATACTAACTTATCAAAATCAAGAGAATCGGGACCTACCATACTGTTTTGACAATTCCAGAATCGCCTCCCAGGGTTTGTTATCTTCCAACAGGTTTGTTCTTTAGTTGGAACGACACAATCACAAACTTTTACCCCTTCTTGTGACTGAACATAAGTGACTTGTAGCTGATTCCTTGACGTCGATGAGCTCGAAGACATTCTTCTTCAGGATGGAAATAGTCGGGGAGGGAGAAGTCTTTGACTTTTCAGAGAAGGGTAAGTAAAGATTGAAAGGAGGTCCAAATGAGGGTTTCAATTAATAAGCCTGTATCAACAACTGGACCACGTAAGCTTATTGGACACATCAGCGTGCCACATAAGCATTGTAACCGGGAAACCTTCTAAAATGGTGTAATTAAAAGGTCAGTTACGAGTTTAATGGTCTAATGTACCAAAAAAAAACTTTAAGGACCAAATTAGCCAAATGTTAAAATTTCCATGTGCTACAGTGATATTATCCC